AAAAAAATCAATCATATTACATATTACATATATACAGTAATATGCTCGTAAAATCTCAACCAGATACAGAACCAAATACTACTTTCGTCAGAAACTGCGTGAGTGTGAACTCTATCTACCATGCTAATTTGGAGGTCTGAATCCATCTGCGTCTGAGGGAAAATAATTATTATCTCACAGGATTTATTTCGGGAAAATATTTTTATACACTCGCATAGTTTCTGACGAAAGTAGTATTTGGTTCTGTATCTGGTTGAGATTTTACGAGCATATTACTGTATATATGTAATATGTAATATGATTGATTTTTTTCAAAACTGATCTGTTTCTCCTACAAGAACCAGCTGATAATTTCTATGAAATAATAAATTTGTAGAGCACTTATCGTTCTACAAGAATAAAAAGATATTTCGTTGTACTTCATTACAGAACTTGGGCCTTTGCTCTTACGCCAGCATCAATTTGTTGGGATAACCTGATCTTAGTAACCACAAGGAATCAAACCAATCCAATACACCGTTAGATCCGTTGTTAAGAGCTGTACAGAACCTGGTGTATGAATCATGGGTTCAAGATACTTTTGAAATCCGACAGGGTCTTTTCATAGATATCTAGAATCTAGATCCGTTTTTTAGATATTTTCTTCATGCAATTGCTTCAACGTATCTCATGCTCTATTCTGTAACTGACATCTAGTGATCGTGCCTATGATAAATAATGCCGTCAACACATAGTCAAACGTATAGTTTATGCAGTGTCTGTTCTCCGTACTGTGTAGTAAAGAAAAAAACATCTAGTATTTTACTGTATGTGACGTTGCTAAGAATGTAGCTAGACTACTAATTCTGTTGGTATTTTTTATGCCAAGTCACAGGTCAAGTCAAGCCATGAGTCATCCAAAATTTGAGAGAAACCATGTGTTCATCGATAGTATAAATTAAAAGTTAAAACCCAGCTTCTTGACAGCTCGTAAGGATACTGAACGAGTGCTATTCTGTAAAGAAAATTTTTTTACAAGGCTTTCCTTATTTGGAATTTTAATTGTTAGAATCTGATACTGGCATTTCTGAAAAACAATCTGAAAAATATATTAGGGCTTAAAATTATGTTGGTCACTTTGGATTAAACGAAAAATAGAGTAAAACCCGATGTTAACTGCTATGGCTATTAGTAGAACATCTGACGATTAGTAATTATGATAAATGACTGTTTAATTGTATATTTCAGATTGAAAAAGTCCTTGAGTCGTTGAAGATAAACGATGAAGGTTTACGACGAGTCATGCGATTACTCGAAGACGAAATGGATGCTGGCCTATCACCCGCCACACATAAAAAAGCTTGTGTTAAAATGTTTCCTACTTATGTACGAGATACACCAGATGGTAGTGAAATTGGTCAAGTGTTAGCATTGGATCTAGGTGGTACCAATTTTCGTGTGCTACTAATCAATTTACTTGGACATGCACAAATTACTTTAACATCCAAAATATTTGTAATACCACAAAGTATTATGCTTGGGGAAGGCATGAATGTGAGTTTATTTATGTACTATCTGTAGATATATCATCCATCTTGTCGAGAGACCTATTTGAAAGATCTATGATTCTAGTTGAGCGAAGTTTGTGAAAACTAACTGAATTCAGCTGCTATATCAACAGACATGAAAAAATAGTAAATATTTGGTTAGTAGAGTTGAATGTTAAGACGACAGGGGTTTGCTTTAATGTTGTAGTAGCTCGCAAAACAAAAATATTGTTCGTGAAGAGATTCTTATCACTCATTATGAATTTAATTATTCTTGGGACTATTGTTTTTCTGCTGATTATATTTTTTTAATTTAACTTATCCATTTGAACTCCATGCCAGTCGCAAGTGTTGTAGTTTACTGAAGATCTCTTAAAAAGTATTTTCTCTTCAGCATCAAAACTCAACTATAATCAAGTAGGTTTCAAGGTAAAAGTGAGGCATCCGAAAACATTCTGTTGTAAGATGAACATATTCGATGTTCAGCTAAAAATGTCTAACCGTTTCTGAGTTATAAATAGTGCAGAAGACAAAATGGTTCTTCCACGCCATAACCGTAACCAGAATCATTACGAAAACCTAAGGAGAATGTAAAATTTTCTAAAATCGGAGAACGTTTATTACCATTTTCTGACCTTTGCACAAAATTTCAGGATAGGAGAAAAGTTGACAAGTAGAGCAGTTTCCCCCTCCTCTGGTAGTACTTGCGGTAGCGAGGTTTATTTTAAACTAATTCACTGTGTGCTTGCTGATGGTACAGGACTGAAAAAAGAAAAATGCTTATAGCTTTCTAACCAAAAGCCGTACAGAGCTGCGTTACGTCTTATTCGCACGAGAACAGTCTGTTCTACAAATCTAGATATTTGGAATAAAAGTGAATTCAACATGTAGCAAGGTGTTCTCCCCTTTAGATTTCAAGTATTATTGACCATCGATATGCTATGCAATGCTATGCAATAATAAAAAATTTTTTTGCTTTTTCTAGTTATTTCGTCATTTAGCAGATTGTCTGTTAGACTTTATGAGGAAAGAAAATTTAGTTAAATCAAATGTCCGTTATCCATTAGGTAAAATGATTAATGAACTTAGCAACTTACTTACTCTAACAGCATTTTTCCTTCAGGCTTTACATTCTCATTTCCATGCAAGCAAGAAGGTAATGGGTTTTTTTCAGTTTAAAAATAACAAGCCCGATATTCAAAAAATGCCTTTTGTTTTTGAGGTCTTGCATCAGCTCGTTTGACGTCGTGGACGAAAGGTTTTAGTTGTCCTGGTGTCGTTAATGAAGATGTTGTTAAAATGCTTCAACAAGCATTGGATGAAAAAGTATGTTTGACTGTCATGTTTATCATGCCGGGTGTTATCATGCCTTTTTTATTTAACTTCATCTTAGAATATTAATGTTCAGTGTGTGGCACTTGTTAATGATACAGTCGGGACATTAATGGCTTGGTAAGATATCCGTCTATCAGTTCAATAGATTACTTTAAACGTGTTCTTTATCTAATAGTGCGTACAAAGATCCTCATACAGCAATTGGCCTAATTTTGGGTAAGTACTCTCCTTCGATAACAATAAAAAGATGATAATAAATTATACATTATAGGTACCGGGACGAATGCATGTTATATGGAACAATTAGATAAAGTCGGTACGTGGGATGGTGACTATAACGAACCAAAACAAGTAAGAACGACTTCTCTCGCTCAATTTGATATTGAATATAAAAGTTTGATGATTTGCGTAGGTAATTATTAACATGGAATGGGGAGCGTTTGGTGATAATAATAAGTTAAATGATATACGAACGAAATATGATGAAGAAGTCGATTTATCAAGTCTAAATCCTGGAAAACAATTGTGAGTTTTCTTCACTTTTTCAGAACCTTTCACAAAGGTTATCTTTTCAGATTTGAAAAAATGATTAGTGGAATGTATATGGGCGAAATCGTTCGTTTGATTATCCTAGATTTGATGCAACGTGAATTGTTATTTTTGGGTCATCGAGAAGGCTATTCTGATTACAAAGCACCTCTGTTTTCTCGAGGCGGTTTTTATACAAAATTTGTATCTACTGTCGAGACAGATGAAGGTCTGTTGGTTTCTCTTTTGAATAAAATTTCATTTGAATTGAAACGTATTTTATTTACAGGAATTGGTTTTAGTAATACACGTCGAGTTTTAGAAGATATTGGTATTCTAAATCCAACATATGACGATTGTGCGATTGTACAACATATCAGTCGACATGTATCAAAACGCGCCGCTCGATTAGCTGGAGCCGGTAAATAAAAAAAGCTTGTCAGCGTTGCTTCTACGAAGCAAAAATGTGGAAACTTCCTACTGAACTGTTGGATTATAACATAGAACATATATAATATAGTAATAATGTATCATAATAATTTTTAAAACTTGTGTCTAAAAACATCAGATACACTGTCTATTACCAGTCCACTCAGTAGCTGCAAACACCAAATTTATATTAAAATTTGGTCAATCACAATTTCATCCCGAAAGTTTACAGCTACTGATAAAAAACCCTCGGAAAACCACAAAAAATCCTCGTATATAAACTTTATACTTCAAACTTCTTTTTCCTTCGGAAAACGGGCAAGTCCTAGGAAGTTTTCACAAAATAGAACTTCTAAAGTGTTTCGATTTTGCTGATTCTATATCTTTTTTTTCTAGGTTTGGCTGTTTTAATAAATCGAATAAATCGATCGAATGTCACAGTAGGGGTGGATGGATCGTTATATCGATATCATCCACGTTTCAAGCGAAATATGGAGAAATGTATGCAAACACTTGTCAATAAAAATATTAAGGTAAAATTTAATCTTTCATCATAATTATGTATCTATTTCGTTTACATTTCGCATAATACCCTAAGGTGACGAGATAGAATACGACTTTCAGATTTCATCATTAACGACTGTTACTCTACTGTACACTTACTTTTGTTTTTATTCTAGTTCAAACTCGCATTATCTGACGATGGTAGTGGAAAAGGTGCTGCTTTAGTGGCATCAGTTGCTGATCGTTCTTCACGTCCAAAAACCGTGCTGAATCAACAAAGCGAATCCGATGAACCCGGCACACCAATCAATTTTCAAAGAACAGTTTTTGATAAGACGTATTAAGTTTTAGATAAAAGTAATCAGGTCAAGTTTTGACTTCTGTTCTTATGCAATACCGTTGTCATTTACTCTTTAAAACAAACAAATCTTATAGAAGTATATTTTAACTACATTGGCTCTATCAAAACGCCATCTAACCCACCGCGTAGTTTTTCCATTCTTTGTTATTTTAAAAAAGAATTTAGTTTTTTGGTTCAGTAAGAAAGTGTTATAATACACCCTAATCTAATTGACCGATATTTCCGCGCCGACTTTTCGGCGCATAACACCACAGCGCACGTCACGCGCGAAGACGTTTTCGCACAAAAACAGTTCCGCGTATGACACTAAAGCGCCGACACTTACGCGCAAAATTAATTATTTCTGTTGTCTTCACGTTAAATTAACAGTTCTTTCAAACTTTGTGAATAACTATTCTGTTCCCATATCATCGGATCAATTAAATTCATCAATATGAGTAAAAGAAAGATGTTCTGTTTCCATATTGTCATTGGCTAGATCAGTCTTTAACTTTTAAATGTATGATTCACAGTCCATGAACTAGAAAATATTACTCAATCGTGCTTTTTTCTTTACTGGTATATAATTCACGTTTTTCAAAAACATTTGTGCTTAGTTTCGGTTGCAGCACCTTGCACGTTATATCCTTAGTAACTGATCCGGTCCTAGAGGAATAGAACAGTTATTCACAAAGTTTGAAAGAATTGTTAATTTAACATGAAGAGAACAGAAAAAATTCATTTTACGGGTAAGTGTCAGCGCTCTAGCGTCATGCGCAGAACTGTCTCGGCGCGAAAACGTCTTTGCGTGTGACGTGCGCTGTGCTGTTGTGCGCGGAAACAATGTGCGCCATAAAGTCGGCGCGGAAATGTCGTATCACGCCCTAATCTACCAGTGGCGCATCTAGGCATTGTACGGTACGGCACGTGCGGGAGCATGTACGTTAGGAGCAAAAAAATTATTTCTTGTCGACAAAACTGCCTCTGAAAAATTTGCTTCTATGGTGAGTGCACGTACCAAAGAAAAATTCTAGATTCGCCACTGTAATGTACTTTATTCATTGTTTGCATTTTCTGCTTTTATGTACAAACAAACGAATATTTCTACGCGAGAAAGCAGATATACATTACTCACTCTTTCATTATATGTCTTTGTTTTTAGTATTTATTTTTTTATTTCTTTACAATGTAAAAGAAATTATACAAACAGAATACGAACAAAGCATGTTTATTTTAGAACTGGTTTCTGAAAAAATTTGTTTTGAGATGCGTCATTAATATTTTTTGAATAAAGTTTTGTCTATGCAATAAATGCATGTTCTGCACAAATGTTATGAAATGAATGTAAAATTCTTACTTGAAACTCTGGTGAAATAATATTAGTATAAAAAAAATACTAGCACAAAACAGCTACTAGAAAACTTCTGGAAACTTAAAGTCAAATATTCCTGAACGAACTAGCGCGGATCTGTTTTGGTCATATCTTTTTGACCTGATAATAGACACTGACTGAATAATAGGTAAAGCTTTTAGCTAAATAGACTCCAGCGTGAATAATGGAGACCTTATAATGTGTTAATTCCGCTGCAAGTGTATCTGAACATTAGGAACCTCGGAGAAGTGACATATCATGCGCAATTTCTTATGTTACAGCAGTGAAAAGACAAACAGACGTATCTGAATTTTATCTCACTGCAGACAATAGTGTCAACTGAATTCCTTCCCATATAAGCAGCCTCATGGAAACAATATTTTTTCCACAGTTCATCTTCTTTGAATCGTATATCATATATGAACATTTATTTCTAAGTTAGGCATCGTCTGTTTTTATTTATTCGATGAAAGACGTATTTTTAAACATTTGATTTAGTAAATTAAGAAAGCATATATTTATTGTTTATTGTTTATATGTGATTGTTGATAATTAATTACTTTATCCGTTATTGAAAGATGTACTGGCGTTCGCACACATACATCGTATTTTTATAAACAGTAGTGTAAATGTGTAACGCAATGTATTCTTTATAAGTGTTGACTTATATTATGACGAATTTCATCGTTTGGGGATGTCTACTATATCCATTTATCATATCTGTTTGTAGAATAGCTACGATGAAGTTGATCTGTTATCAATGTTTATAATAACATTATCAAGTTTCGAAACAATACAATACTAACCAGATATGTCAGTAACTGACTAACTAAATTGAGTCTCATAGAGTTGTACATAAGGACTATACTACAGATTTTTTAAAAAGGAATTTTGAGAAAGGATGGAATTAAAACTCAGTTTTATAATGTATTATTGGCAATGTGCACATTGTAATTAAAAACAAACTTGTGGTAGACTAGTTTTGTTAGCTATCATGTTGTGTGAATGTGTGTGATGCTTTGATACTCCATTTATCACTAGCTGACCACTCACACTAATTAGCATATAGATCTATTTCTAGTGAAGAATATTGACCTTTTCATTATTGTGTGTGATAAATATATATAAATAGCTAAGTTAAGAGTACGCGGTCATAATTGACTAATAAAGTGGATGAAATCAGGTGAAAAACATGGTAAAAAGACGTTTCTATATCGAATTCATACAGTGCATGGTAATTCTATTCAAAGGTCATTGTCTCAAACGTGCCGTCAAATTAGTTATTTGTTGTTCTAAAGATATGTATCGCTGTATATGCTAATTAGACGCTTCAATTTCTGTTGTCGGTCATTTTCTGTTTTCAATTATGGACTGCCGATTCTTTAAACCTCAATAATGGCAAAATTTGGTGAGTCACTACACTTTAAAGGGTGTTTCTATGTAAAACCTATCGGATACGTTCTGTTCTCGTCCACTTGATATTTATTTGAATGAATAACGAATATTTTTATATTTAACAGAATTTGTAATCAATCTGTGTTCAATCAGTCTCCTCACTTTCAATATAGCCCAGTCAGTCATCAAGTCTCTCGTTCTATTTTTTCTCTTTCAAAAGAGAAGAAGAAAAAAAAAATTCAACACATAAACATCAATAATGAAATTTAAACGATATTTTCTTGTCTCTCCGTCTCTAAATCGGTTTATTATTTTGTTATTGTTTGATATCCCATACATTGTACATGCACAAAACACCTCTTTCAATAATTTCAGTAGTTTTGACAAGTTTACTGGAGTGAACTTAAATCTATTCAAACAATGAATTAAATAGCGTAAATTACTTTCTCTCGTTCATACACACATCTCACTTGCCAACGACGATTAGTTGTCAAAAAGCGGCTTTCTTTCTTTATTATTTATACACGATGATTTTCGTTCATCAATGAACATAGCTACAGATTAAATCTGGATGAAAAAACTATTAGTACCATATCGAGTTCAATTTTCCGTATTTTTAATTGAAATTTATCATCAGCAAGAAGACAAAAACATACAGTTAAGTATCACGTATACATGTTAATAAGAGTGGAAAGTTGTGGTTGATGATTCCATTCTCTTAGATATTGAAGTTTGAAATGTAAGGAGTTTTATATCCAATGAATTAGTAGACGTACAGTTAACTGTGTGAAAATTAAAATTTATACATTTAAATGATTTAATAACCAAAGTAATTTAGTCACGTATTCCCTAATGATTACAAATTCTCATAAAATCAATAGTGATGAAATGAATAAATACGATTTTGATTGGAAATCAGACTATCAACCAACTTCATTAGAATCGTATTTTCTATTTAACATATTAACAATCATCATAATAATGTGAAAAATAGTAGAAATGTAAAGAAGTAATGTATCGTACAAGTAATCTGAGGCCAAAAGATTGTCTGTAAAGACATTTGTCTGCTACAGATTCAGCAAGTGTCTCTCTTACGATGATTTTATGAATTTTTTTTGTAATTTATTCATTAAATATAAAAGCAGTTATAAACTTACTAATGTCATCTAATTTCCTCTCTTATAGTTATACTAAGTTGACGATTATTTAGTCGTTCGTTCATTAATACTCGATAAGTCAACTCTCTAATGTAATAAATAGATGTGTATGTGCCCACTTATGATATGTCCAGTTATTCGTATCGCCACTGAACAGTTAACATAAGCATGTTCTGGGTAATGTTGATGAAAAGAGTATCGATATATGTGATTATATATCTATTAGGCCCCGCAAGAAAAACATATCTCTTTCTCTAAAGATAATGGATCATTGTCTTTTCACATTGTGTTAAGTAGAAATGATGATGTGCGTGTTCAATGTCTCTCAGTGATGAGCATCGTTTCATCTTATTCTTTTCATATATGACGAAAAGAAGAAGAAGAAAGGTATAGTTATTTTATTCGATTATACGGTATATGAAAATAAATTAGTTATTTTATTATGTGATATTATTGGTTCATATCATAATGGTGTATCATTAATTTTTCTTTGCGTTTTTTAAAAAGAGTAAAATTGCACATTTGTTATAAAATGTGTTATATTCTACTTCAGAGAATTAAGAAATTCTATGTGTAATGTGTTGACTTTTACTTTAATAATCGTTTCGTGCCGAAAAGATGGATCTAGTATGGATACATTGAAACTCCTAGTTATTCAATTTTATATATATTAGAAATTTTCTCTTCTCTTTCTGTTCTCGTATATATACAATACCTAAAAGAAAAGTAAACAGATAATAAAATGAAACCTATAAAGAGAAAATAGAAGTACACCCCTATCTCTCTGTGTTGATGAACATGACCATAGGCTCTCTGTCTTTTTATTTTTTCAAAAAGAAGAATTCTCTTCCCATCCTCTCGCATCGCACACTCTAATCTAGACAAACTTATCTGACCTTTTAAATGGATTATTTGACCAATATACAACCTAACATAATCATTAGTCACAAACATAGTCTGTCATTATACTATATCGAATCTGTAAAGTACTATCATATATTCACGATTCGTCAAAGAGGTATACATCGATCAGTGTGTTTGTTTTTCAAATTTTTTCTTTTGTTTTCGTTGTTGTTGAACGTCAAAATATTAAATGTCAAATATTTTATGAACATAGTTGTGGGACAACAAACATTATTTTCACAAATCTTTACTAAAATGTAATCGAAGTATGTTGATTTAAAATTTTCATTACCACTTGTTTGCTTTTTTGTTTAATATTGAGGCATTTATTTAACGTTATATATGGAAGTTTTGTTTTAAAAATAAAGAAACTGTTCATATAATGATCTCTATTTTAGTTCAGGTTATATAATTCATTTTTGAACTGTTGTGTGTCCTTGTATGACCGTAAAAGTTTAAGTCATTGAAATCACAGTTAGTTAAGAAAAAATTGTATACTATTGAATTTTTATTTCTTTGGAGAGAGCGAGAGAGAGAGAGAAAGAAATCTTTATGTTATGTAATCACAATATATATATCTTAGATCCTATCCAAATAGAGTTTATAGTCTTACATCCACTGAAATAGATTCCCGGGGCGTTTCTTTTCTTTTTTGTTTCATTTTATTCTTCATTATGAACAGGGATGTTAATAAAATAGAGAAGAGAAGTGAAGAGAAAACCGACCATAAATGTGTATTACACAACAACAAGAGGAAAGTCAAACGTTATACCAACAATTATTTTTAAATTTTTGTCGATAAAAATTTAAGAAATTGCATGTCGACTAAAATGCTACCATAACGTTTATAAATGTATGACAGAATCAACTATATAATTATCGAAAAATGAACAAAAGATATTGAAGACATAAATAGAACGTTATTACAGCAATTTTCTGTGAACCAGATAGACATTCCATTCCTATGTTTTACCGACACTTCTTATGACAAGCAAATAGATCTTTAGCACTCAATTTCTGTAACATTTGTCATTAGAGTACTTGTTTTATAGAAAACCAAAAATTTTTCTATACATAATAAGGACACACACACACACCTGCTCTACAAATCGTCAGTACTTTAAGTTGTTGTTAGAAAATATCTTATTTAGTGGTAGGAATAGACAAAAGCTCAATATGCAAGACATACATTTCTGTGCATCGGTCTAAGACATGACATCATTTGTCGGTTTTTTTCCTTTCTTCTGTTTTGCTGACTTTATTTCTTGTGTATGCATTGTTCTCTCACTTCTCAACCTTGTGCCGCAACTAAACGTATATCTATTATTATTAGAAAGAATTGCATAAAAAAAAAAGAATATGTTATGTGTCTGAGAACCAGAGATACAGAAAGAGAGTGTGTGTGTGTGTGTGTGTTAAATGTGGCAATCGATCTCAAATTATAAATACATCATCTGTCTTCTTCAAGCTGTATGTTATATTAAAAAAAAATAAGACAAAGACACAAAAAATATTTTATCCTACGCGTAAGTGTGTTTTTGACGTCTGTTAAGCGTAGAATGTTGGACACTAGTATGCTTAAATTACGTTTTTAACCGAAGTAATCTCAGTTCATATGTACCAATAACTGTCCAATTTCAGTATTGATTTGTTGCATTACAAACGTCTGCAAATTATCCGATATCTATTCTTGTGCTGTGAGTAATGGTAATTGATAATAGGTAGAACGTTAGATAACTTTTGTTTGATATACAGGCTGTCTTTTCCCTTGAATAATGTGCTGCTTTCAATATTTTTAGCAGACATATGACCGTATGAAATAACCAAGGAAGAATTCTTTTATAATATTGATAAGAATACGATAAACTTGTTCCAATGAAAAGCAGCAGTTTTTATACCCATTGATAAAGACTTGAACGTGACTAAGTCTATCTATGACTTAATTTAAGGAATTCAATATGAAATCTCATAATGTCATTGAGAACAGCTCGCTGTGACGCTCTTCTAGAATATGGAAGTATCGAATATACTAAATATTACAGATTAGAATAGACAAATATCCTTGAAAGAAAGATTCAGTATCCGAATGATATCTTTATACACCGACATCACGAAGTAATAGTACACACTACAATGAATAATGTTTGTTTTTGTTCATTTGATTGTTTTTTCTTGTCGCGTATATATTCGAGAAAATTTCCAACAAATATTTGTTTTAAATGAGTGTAAAATGATATACATATCGATGTATATGGATTTTTCGACAGTTGTTAATACGATTATCTTGTCAAAACAATGTTGACAACAAAAAAAAAACAGAGAAGAAGTTGACAGAAGTCGACAAGAGGACAAAAATGTGTTTTTTGTTATCATTTAAAAAACTCTTATAGAAACAATATACAAGCGACACGTCAGTTTTACAATAATTTTATCTCTGTATGATATGATATAGAAAAATCTAAAGTACAGAACTTCTAGAGTTAACTCTATGTCCATAAAAGCACTACAATATGAAAATGTTTTGCAATCAACAGTATATTTTAATGTTGATTTTTATGTAGGTCATATCTACTGATGTTCACTATTGCTCATATTGTAGAGAAATATTCATTTTCTTTTTATATTTTTCCACGTAGTTTTCTCTTATCATTAATCGGATTAAAATGGAATAAAATAGTTTATTATTCTACATTTGTTGTAGTCATATCCGTTCTAGATTCATATCGTTCAATTATCTACAAATATTCTTTCTTCTAAATATACTACATAACTATGACAGTAATGGAATCGTGAAAAGATCTCGTTGATGATGTTTATTGTATCACATAAGATTGAAGATGTTGCTAAATTTTCTTCTCTTTTTGATCGTTCTAAATAATTTTTGTTATCATAAAGCGTCTATTTGTTGATTTTTCTCTTTTAGACAGACGATCAATCATTCCAAGAAATTTTAAGTGTGATGTGATTAACTTCTCTCACTCTAACGATAGATTAATATGCAGGTATTCGTATGGCTAATTTGTAACGGCGCCGCTTTGAACACATATTCTCTCTTTGTCATTTTCTTCTGTACATACATAGACACACACACACACACACACACACACTCATTCTTCTTCTCTTTTGTTCATAATACACTAAAAAAATTTGTATTCTTAAACGAGTGCAATCATTTGATTACGATTAAAAGAATGTTTAATTTATCATATCATAGACATGGGACTAACTGTAATAGTAAGACCGACTTAAATCGTTCTTATGAACACCAAAAAAAGATAAGACATTATAATCTTGCCACTGAAACATAGAAGTGAATAGAAGTGCACTATTCATTCATACTGTGATTTATGATTTTATGACCTGCATTTTCGCATAAGATTGACACTGAGTGTTTTAACTGTGCGATGAATTATCTCATGCAGTGATGTTATCTTTAGCATACAATTTTGACCTGTTAAGTGTGTAGATATTTCTTAACGAGTGGATTTTGCATATGTAAGTAAAGTAAATTAGTAAGAAAGTTTTAATTTTCATAGTTACATGCATTAACATGATTGATTTTTCTCTTATTTTTCTTCTTTGTTTTTTTTCTTCTTCAAAAGTAATCTTTAATGAACATATTTTTCAATATATTGGTGAGAAATACAATGGAATGGAAACAATTAAAGATAAAAAAATTGTTGAACTTTCAAGTGTCACAAGCAGAGTGATAGATATGGTTGATGAAAAGACATATGCTTAGTTTGTAATATTTTTAAATATCATCTAATTTCGTTTCAAAAATAAAAAAAAAGAAGATTGTCACCATATTACAGAAAATTAAAATAGTCTTGAGAAAAGACAATTCGTCCGTCTACAATCGTTCATTCATCAGAATAAAATTTTATAATTAATAATCTCATTCGTTAATTAATCTAATCGAATTTTAATAATCTGATTTGTTTCTTCTTGTTGTCGGCAACATGAGTATACTGTCTATGTTGTATTGTCACATTTCATTTCCTTGTCTTCTCACCGTAGATAATGAGTTTGATTATACGCGAACGGCGTTTGTCCCATTTTCACCATAAAAAACAAAAAAAAAAAGAAAAAACTTTGTTTTGACCTATAAAAACGCATTTAACTCATATAATCGACTATCATCGTAAGAAGATAGAGTCATTTATCTTCCCATTTATAACAATGTTTATCATATGGAACGATGATGATCTGGTATGGTTATGTTTTATGATTAATACAGAAAAACAAAAAAAAAATAAGAAAAAAAATGATTTTTTTCTTCTTTTTCTAATGAATAATAAGAGTCATTATCGTAATAATAAAATAGAGATCTATACTGTACTATACATTGTGATAAATTGGCCCACACATTCATTTACTTTGAATAACTAAATATGAGAAATATTGTCATTTTCAATGTACAGTTATCGTCTGACGCGCTTCTAGACTATAATATAAAACTAGAAGATATTTTTACATTAAAAAACATTTAAATAAATTTAATCTTTTGGTTTCTAATTTCGTAAAAATTTTCGACACCATTTTGTTAATTATACAGTTTTATCAAAGGTATGCATGAAAATCATGTTGACTCTGTTAACATTTTAATAGCTCCTAATGAGATATACATTTTTATTATTACAATTTTTTTTTTTTGGAACATTTATTTTAGATATAGATGAAATATGAATGAATTTTATTGTATTTTATTGTTACTCTTAAACTGGTTAATAGCAACAACATCTACAATATTAGATATTAGATTTCCTCAAGATACACATGATTTTATTCTTGTTCCATCATCTTTCGCTGATATTGAGGAAAAATTATCAAATATTACTATCAAACACATATGTGAAAATGAAAATTTAATAATTAATTGTGAAAATATGTCTATTATTCAAATAATTCGTACAAATTATGGTCGAACATCTCAACAAATTTGTAATGATAATCATCGTTTAATAATTAGAAAACCATGTTTTAATATCGAACAGTCAAAGAGAGAGACTCGAAAAATGTATGTATAATTGAATTATTCGGATCAATAATTGTATAATAAAATTCGTTTAACTAGGTGTCATGGACAACAAACATGTCAAATTTATGCAACAAATGATTATTTCATTGATCCATGTGGTCAAGAAATATCAAAACATTTTGAAGTTCATTATCGATGTATTAAACATGGTATGTATCAATAATAATTGTATAATTTGTTATCATCAGCATTACTTTATTATTAGATGAAATTTGTCCAAAATTATTTTTAAATTGTTCAAAAACCCGTGATATTAAATGTGTACAAAAAATTGAAGAAAATTTTCCATGTAAATGTCCATCAACAATTTGTCATTTTACTAGTAAGTATTTGATTATAATTTATTTTTTTCTGTCTAAAATTTTAATAATATTATTAAAATAAATTATTTATTAAGATATGGGCATTATTAATGGTTTTATTGATAATCTTTTTGAACAAAATTGTCCATCCAATTTACTACAAGGATATTATTGGCCAAAAACACGAATAAAAACAGAAATTAGTTTAGATTGTGAACGTCCTTGTACAGGTTAGTTTTATAACTATTCGTCATTGTTTTCATTTCTATTTTTTTTGTTGATTTTAGGTGAAGTATATCGTTTTTGTGGATTGAATAATTCAATAAAATGGGATAATCCAGATTATTCGAAATGTCAATGTCCATTTGAACACTATGTATGTTTTAATAATATCTTTGATTATTAAGCCTTCGTCCCACGCTCATCTCTCTATCAAAAACGTCAATTTTCGTCAAAAAACATTGTTTTTGAGATTTTTGTATGATAGCTGAGTAGGCCAAAGTATTTACTTTCAGAATCTATATTGTTTTCTCCTTCAGCGATAAATTTTCATGGTCTCGAAGGATGGCTTTTTCTTTTTTTGGCCATTCTACATTTTCTTTAACGATACTAATGCAATTAAACTATTTTCTAAACACATAGATTTGTAGAGTAATCTTTCAGAGCTAGACAAGTCAGGACTTTTCAAGTCTCAAGTTAAGTCCACAAAAAGATTCTTCAAGTTAAGAAAGAGTCATTAAAACGTTTTGTTAAAACTTGGATTTGAAACATTTTTGACTTGATTTATCTAACTCTGCAATCTTGTCTAGTCAAAATGGAACATTGCACATGACCTCCTGTTAATATATATTCTATAGAAATTTTATCAGGATCGGATGTTTTTAGACGAAAATAGATCCCTGAAAGTGGAAGGTGGGTGAAGTCTATCGTTAATTTGTTTAATATATATACAAAATTACATTATCTTCTTCTAGAATACTAGTATAGAAAATAATTATTATTCTGCCAATATGCACACGTTTAATTGTAATTTTTGGTTGATAGACAAATTATTCATGAATAGTCTTTCAAATTCCACTTGTATTAAAGTATGTTGAAGTTATTACACATTTTTATTAATAATTAATTTTATTTATCCTCTTTTCTGTTTTTTTAGTCTTTTGCTAATATGTTCGTCATGCAGAAACAATCTTCACATCGTTCTTCTAGCAATTGTTTAATAACAGCATTTAATAACATGTTGAGATATTGCAATGAATTTAATTCTACAACATTTGGAATTGAATTCAAAAATTTAGGTAATAATAAGATAAAATAGATAATTATCTATTATTGTTTAATAAAAATTTTCAATATTCGATTTTTTTGTTCTTTTTAGGATTTGAAATTCAAATTCGTCCTTCTACATTTGAACGTTTTCGTTTACCAAATAATATTTATTCGTTAGATAAAAATGCGTTTGGCTCAAGTTATATCATATTTGATAGATCTGATATTAGTTCTCTCGATAATGAATATCCAACACAAATGTTATCCATACTTCTTATTGATTCATTTAAAATTGATAATTCTATTCGATCATTTATTGTTGTTGAACAATCTTCAATTACTCCTAATATTCAAATACAAAGTGCCAATGTTACTGTCATATTTAAACATATGGTAGTCTAATTTTACTCTATTTTTAATTAAATATTCTATTTCATTTTTAATTTTTCATTATTAGTCTTTAAAAACAAAATTTCAATGTCGTGCATATCAATCAAATTCCATTGAATATTTATCGTAAGTTAAAAAAAAAATAAAAAAATTTTTAAAAAAAAAATAAAATTTATTATTATTCAATCTTTTTATATATAGATTAACAGATTTTTACTTTTCTTGTAAATTACTTTGTTCAAATGGTTCTCATGTTATATGTCAATGTCCATATTTTAATACGATAATGCAATACAATTTACATGAGATTGAAACAGAGGTAAATTTTATACACTTCTCAAATGATGATCTTGTTAAATTCTTCTTTATTTTATCTATCATATTTCAGTCTTCAATAAATAATAATGATATAAAACTAAATGATCATGATATCGATATATTAGAAAGTAATTTATGGGATAAATGTCATATAGATTATTTGAATTCAAATCAAACAAAATATGGTACAATTCAATCAATTTTGGATGCATCATCCAAAATTGATATTTATATGAAACAATTTTCAATTGATAATTTAAAAAAATTTGATAAATTTAACAATATGGTATCGGTAAGTTAAATTTCTATTATAAAAATAATAAAAAAAAAAATATAAAAACTATTTTATTTTTTATTTTTATTTTATATTAGAATATTATAAATTATATGGATACAATTATTGATAGTAAAACAGCATGGATAAATCAAAATCAATCATCAAAATGGAGTGTAGCTACAAAATTAGTATCTCAAATTGATTATATGGGAATAAATATGGTTAATTCATTATCTAATCGTGAAACGATTATACAAAATATTAAAAAACATATTGAATTAACTGTACAATTAAAACGTAAAAATGATATTAGAAATACAATGGAATTTCATAGTAAAGATAAATTTGCTCATATATCATTACCAAAAGAAAATATTGAAAAAATCGAAAGTAATTATTATTTAATAATTTAAATATCATAAATCTATTTTATATTTATTTCATTTTTTTTTGTTTAGCTTATATGTTTAAATCAATATTTTTTGTATTATCAAATATGGATAAATATTTAAATTTTGAATCAAATTTAAAATTACAAAGTAAAATTGTTAGTTTAACAATTAATTCACCATCTGATCATCATTTACAATTAGCACAAGATGTTAAAATTACATTTCGTCATTTAGTAAGTAAAAAAAGAATTATTTTATTTTTTATTATGATACATTATTTGATAATTCTTATATTTTATTTAGAATTTCTTCAATAGTACTAAGCAACCAGTTTGCGTATTTTTGGATTATAATCTAAAGTAAGTATTTTTATTTATGAATAATAATAATTCTTTTTTATATTATTATTTTTCTAGTGGAACATATGCTCGTTGGAACAATGACGGATGTGTAGTTCAAACAACAAATCTAAGTCATACAATATGTTCGTGTAGTCATTTAACGGCATTTGCTGTTTTAATTGATTTTTATAATATTTTTGATCAAGTAAGTTGAAAAAAGAGTTTTAAAACTAATAGTTAATATAAATAATGACATAATCATTGTAGCCATCGTTAGCTCCTCATATGGATAAATTATCTATAATATCAAAAATTGGTTGTTCAGTGTCAATAGTATGTTTGATTTTAACATTCATTACTTTAATAATGATACGGTAATTGATATATAATGCTAAAATTTTTCATCTATGATGAAAAAAATTTATTAATTTCAGTCAAAAAACAAGTAATGATGATGAATTATTGTGCGTAAGAAATACCTTACATAAAAATATGGTATTATGTTTGATAATTACACAGTTTATATTTTTATTTGGAATCGAACAAACAGACACAAAGGTTTGTCTCTCTCTCTCTCTCTCGTTCTGATGTAGTGTTAACAGGATAGTCTTTTATCATTTAGATAACATGTCGTACTATAGCAATGTTAATGCATTATTTTCTATTATCAAGTTTTTGTTGGATGTTTGTTGACGGTATTGAACTTTTATTAGCTTTACGACACGTATTTAAAATTGAAAAATCACGAGTTATGGTCTACTATTTATACTCATACGGTTAGTTATTGTTCTTATACACATTTTCAATTTAATCATCTCTATATTTATGAATTTGCAGGTGTTCCATTGATTATTGTTATGATATCATCAGTATTTTTTATACAAGGATATGGAACAACAAAATAGTAAATACAATAGTTTTAATAACATTATTATTGTTCTTATTTAATTTTTGTTTAGTTGTTGGTTGGCGCAAGACCATGGCTTCATTTGGGCGTTTGGTGCACCATTTTTGATACTTATTGCTGTAAGATTATAAAATAAAAGAATATGAAAATATTTAAAATCTTATAATTATTATTTTTAGACAAATATTGTATTTTTTATTATATCAATGTGTACCATTTGTAAACATTTAGAAAATGAAAAACAAGCTAAAAGATCAAGGTTTGATATAAAAATACTTCAAGTTCGAAACTATGTATATAAATTAATATTAAACTTCTTGTTTTTTTCTTCTAGAATATCGTTACGTGATTTGGCCACATTATCAATACTATTCGGTTTGACATGGATATTTGGACTATTTTTTGTTCATAAACGAACACTATTATTTGCCTATATATTCACAATACTCAATTCATTTCAAGGTTTACTCATATTTGTTTTCTACTGTTTACTTCGTCCACGTGTAAGTTAATAGTGAAAAATAATTGTTTCTCATCTAATTGAGCTATTTCATTTGTTATATATTGAAGATAAAGAAGCTCTATTGTGATCTTGCTTTCAAATTGTGTCCGAATTTATCCAATTTTTGTGTTCAACATAAGTTGAATGGAAGAAATACGTCAAGTCAATCGGTATGTATAATACCTTCAGCATTTATGTAACGGTGTATTATTAACTTAAAAAATTTACTGATTTTAGTGGCTTCGAAAATTATTATCAAATCAATCACAGTGTGTAAATTCGGCAACAAATCGTAAGTTTATTAATATTATCTCTATAAATTACACACAAGTTAGCTATTCTTTTTTTTTTTTGTTTCCTAGAAGCAAAAGTTAATCAGCAAAATTCAAATGGAATAAAACATTTTTCCCTAAATGGTGATAATTTAAGCAGCGGATATGGTTCGGCAAATTCAGCTGATTTAAAACACACATCTGTGTCAGATACAACATCAACATTGAAAAATTCAAAATTATTATCAGCATTCGATCGAGATTCAACCACGGACTTTAATACAGACTATGCAAATAATATTGCAAATGAACCGACGTATAATAGCGTTTGTAATGATGATGTTGATAAACAATTATTTCAATCGTCAAAATTTAATTTAAAATCAACCGATTTTGATCATTCAAATTATCTACCTAGTATACCATTGACAATGTCAAACATAAGCCATAAAACTGTTGGACTAACTACATTTCACAAATATCAACAAAATCATCAACAATCATCAACATCATCAAACGTTTTACTCTATCGTCAAAATTTAATTAACAATCATAATATAAGATTATTTGAAAAAATTTATTCGTCAAATATGACGGATAATACACTAAACGAATTTCGAACATTTCTACCACATATTCAGTCAACAGCTCATAATGATATTTCAACAGATATAGATGAACAAAATAGACCGTTAGTTCAACATGCTGAAGATCATCAATACTATGAAATTGGAGATGAACAAATACTATCAGCTAGTCATAATTAAGAACTGCCTTAGACACTGACTACTGTCTTAGACATTTAAATACGCAAAGAAAAATAACTGCGTTCTTATTAGGCCTGTGACAGTTCATAGTTCCTTGTACTGCAGTTTCTTGATAACGGGAACTGTTTTTCAGTTCGTATTCAACGAACGGGAACGGTTTTTCAGTTTCCGGTCTGAACTAAGAGCGGCTCACCAGTTCCAGTTCCTGAGAAAGAGAACTACAGTTCTTTTTGAACTGGAAACTACTCAGGGTCCTTTAGTGATTTGTTGATATATTATGTATTTCATTTTGTAAACATAAGATTTTGAACGAGTGAGCACTGAAAAGAGATATGTTCAAAGAGACTTCCAGATTAGGTGGTATTGCTGTTTGAATTTAGTTCGTTACTTCTTAAGATCTTGATCTATTGCTTAAGCTCAAGAACGCATGGTGAAGAAGCTCAGCTCCTGATGTGATGTAGTAGCTTTTGTCTGCTACCAGTGTAACCAGTGCAAAATTAGTGAAATAGGTTGAATGAGAGGTGAGTACTTTTTCTCTGACAAAGTTTCACCTATGTATGTTTCAATATCAGGAGTTGTTGACCCTTTACAGACAAGAAATGAAACGCTTATATCTCACCAACCATCTAGTAAAAAAGGTCTAAATTTGTTTTTGAGCGATCAGCACTCAGTGTGAGCTAAAACCAACTCTAACTGTCATGATTCTTAAGTTACAACGATGCCATGACTGTTGTGGAGAATTTCGATCTGTAGTTTAATTATTAAAAATCTTCGTTTATTGTTAGTTTGTGCGATGGTTGAACTTTCAATAAATATTCAGAGCAGATTCGATGTTGAGGATCTTGATCAACGTAGATTGATGATGACCACTTTTTTAAATTCAGTGTTAGTTTTCTCGAATTATGATGTCTGATATTATTCCATAAACTTATGAACTCATCACGAAAACTTGTTAATGACAACGCATAAATCATCGGGTTCGTGCATGCTGCCGTTTTTGTGAATATTCCTAGTATAGATGTGTTGTAAGCATTCACCCAGTTCCGAAGACCAAACTGAACAAGGAGAGCCATTAATGCATACGGTCCCCAAGCGAGACAAAACATAATAACAATAAATACCACATTTCGCGTTGCTCGTATTTCTGTGCGTCGAAAACTTTGAGCAACTGTATTTGGTGTGTGATGATCGCTGTCATCATTATTATCATTTAATCCTTGAAAACCAGTCGATCGTCGTTTTGATAATTTAACTACAATGAGAATATAACATAATACGATGACGGTTAATGGGAGGAAAAAACCACCGGTAATTAATAGCCAAATAAATGAACGAGATTTCCAATCACTTGCAATATAATCAAATGTGCAAGATGTAAGACAACCTTCTAAGATAAAACGGTTCCAACCAAAGAGAGGTGGTGTAATCCAAATAGCTAAAGCAATTAAATTAAAAAATTCAATTATGCCGTTTCTTATATTGTATAGTTCATTCATACTTGAATAGAGCCATGTCAACCCCAGGCATCCTAAACAACACACAAATGACATTTGACATCACTAATAACCATTAAAGGTTTAAATAAATAATCCAGTTATACCTATTGTGAATTTGCTTGTTAATTTTAATGAACTAAATGGATAGTTCACGGCAGCAAACCGTGTCATTGATATTGCTGCCATTGTACCAATGGATGTAAAACCAAACAATCCACCGCAAAATGAATAGAAATTGCAACCTATGAAAAGAAATCCATAGAAGTTAATTTTGAGAGAATTATTTAAAGTTTTTACCAATTTGACCAAATACCCAATGTTGATAATAGGAAGAAATCATATGCATTGAAGCGTTTGATACAACTAATAAAAGATCGGTGATGGCTAAATTGATTAGAAAATAATTTCTTGGTACTCGTAACGTTGAATTTCTATAAGTGTAGGAAAATAAACTATACGTTTGTATTCGACAAGATTTCTCCTGTTCCTACCGTACAAAAACCAAAATAACCAATCCGTTTGATACGATACCACCAATTAAGCAAATCAGCGACGCTGTACCTGCTGCATAGTGCCATACTGCTGGAATATCGGAAGTTTTATACCACAAGAAAGTTACATTCATTGCAATCACCACATAATTAATCTAAAATTGAACTGTATGATGATCTAAATGAAAATGAAGCGGAAAAACTGTATCACAAACGCATTTTTTTTTTCACACTTTAAATACTTAACACTAAGTCGATGAGAACATGTTATAACAAAATTTTGTTCTGTATATTAAAATAATCTTATGGTACCCAGTTAGAAAATATAAACTATAAATAATTAAGTAAAAATAAATCAAGTAGATTAACGTTGTAATATGATACTTTGCTTAAATCCGAAAAATATGACAGCAAGATTAAAAACTATATAATGAGAAATTTAACTCTTGAATAAGTAAATTTTTAGCTTTTTTCTTTAGTGTATTTTTGAGAACATTCCATTTTTTTCTTACAGACTCCCTTACATTACGTGCGGTAATTCTATACTACAGAGGCCTGGGAGATTGTACAAAGTTTGTCACGGAATGTTTTTAGCTATAAAAAACTTATACTTAGTCTTTTACTTCCTTTATTTTTCTAAGGAATTGATTATCCTTTAGAATGGAAATACTTTTCGGGCCCATTCTCATCCAGTACTCTCCTAACAAGCAAAATACTTCTTTTTTCATCAACTAAAGAAAGTATGACCCTTCTGTGTTTCTTGGTATCATCAACTCTATATTCCATATTAAATTATAATCATAGCTGAATATTTTTTTTTCTATCTAAAAATATTTGTTTCAGACGACCTCTTCGCTTTTCTGTTGCAGTAGCAAGAAACAAAAACTATCACTAAGACTTTCTTTGGAGATCGGCAATTAATTACCAATTAAGAAATTTTATGTAGATGTTTATCAAGTCTAGCCTGTTGATCAATAAAATTCAGATGCAAAAAAAAATGGTTTACACGATTTACTGTCCGTTGATTAATTTCTATTTTAATTAGCTTTTTTTCATAGAAAAGTATAATTTTCTTATATATACAGATTTACTTTCCGTTGGTTATATAGAAATATATCTCAATTAGCCACTTTTTTATATACTTAAGGATTTAATTTCCACTAATTATTTGAACCAAAAGCAATGAATGAGCAAATGAATATTCATTGCGACAACAAATAAATTTTTAAGCAGCCATAAGAATTCACACTGTTTTAATAATGTCTGGTAAGTCAGAAGAAGTTTTAATAATGTTTTGCTGAATTTGTTGAATCTACACATGGCAAAAGACAATTATATTACCTCGGTTATCGATATTCTCTCAAACGTAAAAATCAAAATGGTTCAGAGTATTGGGTATGTGTGAAGTGTAACGCTACGACAACAAGTTATTCGGTACTCGTCGGTCGTAGTGCGTGACGGTCATACACATTTACCTGATGGAACTGATATGGAAATATTACAAATTAGAAAAACTTTAAAACGTAAAGTTATGTACGTTGAAAAAACAAAGTTATAACAGGTGAATGTCTAATGAAATTATGGCAACGTTATGATGACGGTCGTATTAACATTCCAGCGTTCTTGAAAGCTGCCGGTATAAGATATTTTCAACGTCCATCAAAAAGTTAAAAAAATATCTTTTTTCGTTTTACTAATAAACATACTAATAAACACCAATAATATATTTTTTTTCTCATAATACATTCATTATTACAATGAATATTCATTTGCTCATTCATTGCTTTTGGTCCAAATAATTAGTGGAAATTAAATCCTTAGGTATATAAAAAGGGAAAAATGTTTTTTGTGCACGGTTTGCTATTTTCCATGCACTAAAAAATCTTTTGATATTTTTGTGCACGATTACAGAAAGGTGCACGGCAAAAAGACAGAAATGTGCACGCAGACGTTTTTGTGCACAGTTTTTCAAGGAGTAAAAGATATTTTGTCGTTTTTTCATCCTAAACAAATAGGATGATCTACGAACAGACGTCTCGTTTAATACGAACGAGACTTATTGACTGAAATGTTCGATAAATCTTAAAAAT